TCGGGTTCCGTAAGAACTCTGAAGTTAAGCGAGTTCGCGTGAGAGCAATCATAGAATGGGTGACCCACTGGGAAGTTCTGCTCGTGTGAGTTCCTAGAAACAAAACCGTGAAGGCGTGGTCGGGGCCCAAAGAGGACAATATCGTGCTACGGTGGAGTTGAGCCCTGGATGTGGTGGGGGCCGGGGCCGGGATGCGACAATTTGGTATCAAGGCCAATCCCTGGCCGGAAGTGTGCCGACGATGACGTCAGGCCCTTAAGGGGGGTGGATTGTAAGATCCCACATCACCTATGGGTGAGAATTCTGTAAGCCTTATATGTATATTATCATCTCTACCTAGCACGAGGCCTTTTGGGAGCTCACTGGCTTCGAGTTCCGTAGGTACTCTGAAGTTAAGTGAGTTCGCGCGAGAGCAATCTCAAGATAGGTGACCCACTGGGAAGTTCTGCTCGCATGAGTTCCCAGAAATAAAACCATGAAGGCGTGGTCGCGGCCCAAAACGGACAATATCGTGCTACGGTAGAGTTGAGCCAGGGATGTGGTGGGGGCTCGGCCCGGGATGTAACATCTTAGCTCGCCTCTCTCTTTCCCTCTCCTCAAATCTGACCCTCTCTCTTTCCCTCTCCTCAAATTTGACCCTCTCTCTCACACTCACTCTTCTCACTCACTCTCTCATCTCTCTCTCACTATCTCCTCTAATTCTCTCACACTCACTCCTCCCTCTCATTCTCACTCACTCTCAATCTTGCCAAAAGGTATATTCTCCCCAATGTTTTTTTCATTAATATGTGTTTTTGGAGTTAGTTTTGATTTTGTGCGGGGTTTAGGGTCGAGTTTAGGGTGAGGAGTGAAGTATGGGATCAGATTTGGGATATACCAATTTTAGGGGAGATTATGCCAATTTTTTGTTTTTTTTTTTTTTTGTGTTATTTGACCATATTTGTTTTTTAGTAGGGAATCGTCGAGACTTTGATGGCTAAAGTTGAGGATTAGGATGCTATCGAAACATATCCCCTGCCACTACCACCACAATAGACTTGTATTAGGATTTATTATTGTACTTTGTTCATTTATGTGTACATTTTGAATATATTATATATATTGGATAATTTGATCACTATTTTTCATATGTAATTTTATTTTGAATATGTTAATTTAAATTAAAGTAATTAAAAAAATAAAATCATACAATTAAATTAAATTAAAAAAGTAAAAATTCGAAATAATTAATATAAGAGAAATAATAAAACAAAAAGTCAAAAACCTTGCGCGACAAAATATTCCGTCGCATAAAATACTAAATTAATTTATTTTAATTAAAAAAATTTAAAAACTTGAAATATTTCCTCTCGCAAAGCTACTTTGCACGACGAAGATTAATTTTTGTCCAAACTTTCGTCGCACAAGGTTTTGCGTGACGAAATTGTATTTTGCGCAACAAACTTATTTTGTCGCGCAAAGTGTTTTTTGTAGTAGTGTGGTCAGACTCGCTCCCAAAGTGAGTGTGGCAGCACTAGCAGAGCCAAGTACAAGGCTGCCTAGGATCTTTAAGCTTAAAAATATTAATCTTTGGACTATTTTATGAATTTTAATTGTTATATTCTACTTAGCAAATGAAATTTTGGATCTTAAAGCTACTTTTAAGGAAAATAAGAGCTAATAAATGTTAAATAAACTCAGCACTTTAATATAGTAGTATTAAATTAAAACTTCCATACCACAATTGGTTCCTTATTTTATTCACTTGAAAGTTTTGAAAGCTAGAAGTCTAGAAACATAGTATAAATTTCTTACTTCAAATTATTACTTTCAGGTTTACTATTATATAACTTTATGTAGGCAACAAAAGACTAAAAATTTGATTCGTATAATAATTTTAGCATAGCGTACCCACCGAATAATTTCTGACTACACCAATGTGTGGCAGGACTTGCTAGTTGTCAACCATGCCTACAGTTTCTTGAGGAAAAACTATCGGCAAGGGGAGTAAATCATGAGAATCCCACGGACTCGGCTTCTCAGGGTTGGAATGACCTATGAGATATGAGATCACAGTGTTTGTGAATCTGTGATCTAAAATGAACAAATAAGTCTTGCTTTAAGAGTAACTTGGAGCCAAAACTGGTGTGAGGAAACTAGTGGTTGTGTGATAGATATTGCCTAATGTGTTCTCAATATGTTAATTTGTGTGGCCCCGACACTAATTCACAAGCAATGTCTGTTCATGCATGCCATTGGATTAGCCATAAATTTGCATTTTGTGAGCAATTTGGTTTATATATACACTTGGGCTAAGCCGAAGACTTCAAAAATCCGTTCTTTACCTTTGGCTTAGCCCAAGTGGTAAGGATGAATACTAGTTTCATGGCATGGAATTCTGGACTTGTTGAACCAATAAATGCATGATGATTGTATCCTTTAACATTTTTCTTGCTAGAGAGATAAAAAACATTTTAATTTTCATGCAGTCCTTTCTGCAGTGAGCGGAATCCAATCAGTAATTTATGTGCTACCACTTTCGTGCACAAAACATTTTACTACATTTTAATTTTCATGCAGTCCTTTCTGCAGTGAGCGGAATCCAATCAGTAATTTATGTGCTACCACTTTCGTGCACAAAACATTTTACTTTGCGTGCAGTCCTTTGTGCAAGTGGCCATGGAGCACTGGATAGCACATCTAGGAGATGAGGTGGTAACAGAAGAGAATTCATCGATGTTCAAGAAGATAGTTGTCAACTATGCCTACAGTTTCTTGCGAAAAAAATTTAGGCAAGGAGATGAGGTGATGGCAATCCCACGGACTAGGCTTCTCAAAGGTTGGGATGACCTTTGAGATATGAAGATTTCTCAGAGATTAGGTTTGTAATATATGTGGAGGATGTTTGATTTGAACTGGAACATTTTAACGATATGAAGTTTTAGGCATGTTCATCCACAGAGAGAGAGAGAGAGAGAGAGATAAGGAGCAATTTCTATGCTGTTCGAAACTTGTTTCAGCACTTTTCAGACCGAGAGTTCAAACTGCTTGAATTCGCATTATTATGCTCGATAAAAGGAACTAGGTTCCCGTGTTCTAACTTCTTTTCTTTTCCTCTCGAAAGGGAATGAATTTTAATTAAGTTGGATCTAAATTAGGGATGGTAATTCAAATTGTTAAATCCGATAAACGTGGATAACAGTCTGAATGGAGCATATTTGGGTATATTATGGATATGGAGAAAAACCGTGAACTTTAATCGGTTATGGTTGTGGATATAGTTATAGGGTCCTCAATCTATATCCGTCTCCGAATCCGAACCGAATAATATATAATAGTATTATGTAATATATATATATATATACACACACACATACATATAAGAAGCCTTTAAGGAAAATGATCTCCATTTTTTTTTTTTATAAAAACAAGGATTAGTTGTTGGGCCCAAACTACATCAATTTTAATGATTCGTACAATCTATTTTTCAATTTGCACCTCATATACCATCCTTACAAAATAGTAGCCAAATAAAAAATATTTAAAGTATCTAATTGAGTTTAAAGAAATTGACTAACACTTTGTTTTCTAAGCAATAATGAAATTTCAACGTGATAATTAAATAGGCAACTGATTTCGGATTAAATTGAAATTTTGCAAGGATGATCTAGAAATCGAGACTTATAAAATAAGTTGTTCGGATCCTTAAAATTCGACGTGAAGTGGACCCAACATTCATTATTCACCTCATAATATATTTAGTATTCATCGAACTCAATACTATATTCATTATGCATCAAACCCTATACTATTTCATTATGAACCAAACGTAATGCTTATGGGAGATATCAACAGCTCACATCATCAAAGTTTTATTAAATACCCTTATTTTTATACCCAACAAAATACATTCATTGTTATTGTTTTTACTATTAGATATGGCTATTTAATGACGAAAATAGTATTACTAAATTATTGTGAGTCAATTGAATAAATATAATCTTTTTTTATTTTGACGAAGATGGATATAACCATTAACCGATAAAAAATCCGTTACCCAGTGGGTATGGCTATGAATAATCCCCGATGATTAATTTACAGTTATGAATATAGTTAATTTTCGTAGTTATGGGGATAAATATAGCATTTTCGTCTCCAAATCAAACGGTTGCCATCCTTAATCTGAATTAAATAAATCTTCCAAATAGAGCCCAAAAGTTAAAAGGCTCCTTAACCCTAACAAGCTAATCTGGGGACTACACTATTTCCCTCTATGAACATGCATAAAACTTTCGACAAAAACATTCTCTAATCTCTATCACTATTAACAAGGCAGAGTAACCTTAAAATATGGCTTGTAATAAGAGTCATCTACGGCACCCGCGTAAATTGCTCGATCTCTAGCAGCAAAAGCCTCGGCATTTTCAGCGGAACACACAAGCGACCATTATACGTCAAACATGCAGACGCTACCCTTGTACACTCTCCTAACTAGATTCCTGAGGGCCTCAATGGTTAAACTTTGAGAGATAAAGTTCATTATGTTTGTACCTTACTTCATTAATTCCCCAACTACCAAGCTAAGGTCAACTTTATACCTAAAGGTTCGCGTTGAGGCACCTCTGTCCAAGCATAAGAGTTTCTCTCCAACCAGGAGGCCAACCACAATGCTACAAGTGTCAACATCAGAATAAAACTCCCAGAGAGTCCCACATCGACAACAGACGAAAGCATGAGACTCTCCTCAACTATAAAAGGAGACCATTTTCTTACAACTAATTTCTAACGCTATTATTCTACTTAATCCATTATTAGAACACACTAATGATGATTATGCTTCAATCTTTGTATTATGTAAACTCTACATTATTAATGAGAACTCCTATACCCTCGTGGACATAGCCCAACTAAAGGTGAACCACGTACATCTTGTGTTTGCTTATTTATCTCTATCTCTTTACATATTACCTACACTAGGTGACCGAAGCAACCTTGCGAATGTCACACCTCAACACTTTACGTTGTTCTAAAGTCAATCCGATTTTGTGCATCACCAATCTATATATTACACAAAGTTTCACAGGAGAATGTTTACACATGTCTAATTTCTGGGAGAACAATTAGTTTCAGTTCTTTCCAACTTAAAAAGGGAAAACAACTCACATAAATGTCTATGAATCTTGAACCCTCGCATGAACCAAATCCACCACCGGACCTCTAACCACAATCTACAGGCTTTTCCGTTATTTGATAAAGAATAATGTATAGAGTAGATGCGGACCTTAGTTTCGCTGAAAACGTTATAACACTACACTTGACCCAAAGTATCCATAAAGGCAGTTTGATTCTATGCAAGCTCCTCTTCCTACTTATCTGAATCAGAGCTCTTATTCCTACCATGGAGAACTGGATTGTGATGGCGTCCTTCCAACAGGGGAGTTCAGCACTATGTCGGTAACCAATTACGATCCTCCAGGTTAGCAGCTGTTATCTTGGCTGTAAGACTAGAACATCAATTTCTAACCAATCATTTAGCTCTTCAGATTAGTACTCCCTTCAATTTTCTGTCTGCCTGTTGAACCATGTTCCATTCCAAACTCCGCAGCCAACATTTGTATATCAGGTGAGCTCCCCCAGTTGGCTTTGTGATCCCATTTTGTACGTCTTGGCTGGATCTCACACCGCTGCAATCCACCAACACTATCAATCTGAGTTTGTATATCCTCCAGATCTTCAGCAGCAACAGCTTTTCGTTTTCCCATTTCTATGTCAGAACTTGCTTTGGGCATCTCTGGGCTCATGGGATGGCCTGATGGCATTGAAGTGGTGTAGACAGAAGAAGTGTCGCCCTTGACCACTTCCCTGAAGTTATGTTTAGATCTTGGAATTTCAGAGAAGAAGACTTCCGTAATATTGCTAAAACACCCACGATTGTAAGGGTTCATCTTCAGATTGTACCGATACCGAAAGTTTTCATATGTTGTCTGCACACAAGTGGAAATTACCTCTAAGAGAGATAGAGAGACAGGGAACACCAAGCAGCAACAAAGGTAAAGAGCAACGAACCTGATTAGTGAGGATTAAATAGAGATGGAATCCTGTGAGACCTCCAACAAACCAAGCAACTCCAAATGTATAGAGAATTAGAACTCCTGAAACAGGTGACTTTGATAAAGCTCTCCAGAGACTGCAATGGTAATAATCCATTATCTGCATGATGTTTACCCAGCAGAACGCAAAGACATAGAGACACAGAACGGTCGTGGAGGACACAAACATGAAAAAGAATCTGTAATTCCTCTGTAAAAAGAAATAACTTTAACAGTGTAAGGACTATGAAAAGATTAACAACGTATCCAACAATTGAGCTAAAGATGAATCGAGTGTTGGAAACTCACAACCCTAGATGCATGAACCGTGAAAGTAGTGAGTGAAAGACATTCAACTTGACAAGTCACAACTAAGAGATTCGTTTGATAGAAGCAAAGCACAATTAGATAACATTGTCATCATGGTCTTTTTTGAATTTTAATATGTGTATATATATCTTAAAATTCACATAAAAAAAATTTAAAAAAAAACAAACTGAGAGAGCTTCTTCCGCTAAAAGGTTGTACCTTATATCATATTACGGAAGATAAACACAAAATTCGAAAATTTAATAACTCTGTAAATTCCAGCTAAAATGCTAGTTCAATCAAAATGAAGCATACTTTGCCAATACATTGCCCCACCCATGGGCAATGGTGATCAAAACGCTCAACGCAGTTGTTGCATATAGAGCAGTGAGAGCATCGGGGTGGGCGATATAGCATGCATGTTTGACAATATTTGGTTTTAACTATCACGCCATTAATGATAACTTCTTTTGTGGGTGGTATGCCTGGAGGTCCATTCTGACTTCCTGGCCAATCAGAAGAGATACTAGAAACGTAGCCGTCATCTTCTGGTTCTGGAGGATGCAAGCTACGAGGAATAATGCCAGGATCTCTTGCAGATGTAATCAAGAGAAGAATCACAACCTGCACTAGTTGATAAGCCAAAAATCTTCAGTTATAAATACATCCAAACGTAACCTTCAGTTATAAATACCTACAAAAGTTCACCACTGCAAACAACGTAAATGCTCTTTAAAGAAAAGTCGAGCAAATAAACTTATTTCACAGCACCAACTTGATCAAAAACATACACTAACAGATAGGACCGACTCATTTAACGGGTTCTAACAATTGGTGGGTAAGACCAGGCAGGTCTTGTTGCCCACCTATGTCCACAAGTTCACTTCTTTCTTAGTGTGGCGCTATGGCCCTATGCCACGCCAAGTGGGTGGTGACCCTCAGGTTAGAAGGAATCCGCACGCTTCATGGATGAGTTGCAAAAATCAAAACTTGACCAACATCAACCCGACGTGCAAAACATATTATGATTTCAGAGCATCTCTACAAACCAATGAAACTACTGATTGTCTCTGCCTTAAAGCGGAAATAAATCTTTAAGTACACTTGTGCTCCATCTGAGTTTCAAGCATTATATTATCATATTCTGGTGGCCGAAAAACAACAATATGATAGTTAACTCAAATAAACCTTGGTAATAAAGTTGCAAAGTATATGGCTGAAATTTCTCCTCTTTTCTCTCAATTTTCCTCCTACAGTGACATCTTTGATAGTTGTAATAATTGAAAAACAAGTTGTCTAAGATGAAGAACTCACATATACTGCTAATACAGGACATAAAGCCACAATAAGAATGCCAGTGTAGAGCGGGAGTTGATGAATTAGTCCTTGCGAAAGAAAAGCGCAAAACAGGATCACTGGAACCACAATTAGGGACACAGTAAGGAATAATGACCTCGAATCTGGACCCAATATAATTCTTCCATTAAAGCAAAATTTCTGCAAGAAATCAGACGGAATCAGTTCATTGTAAGGCCATGAGGGCGCACCAATATTTTACTAAATTCAATCCAAAGACAGCTGAATCTACAAAATGCGAGGATTACGAAAGTAAACTGAAAGCTATATAGATTTGTATTCATATTCTGTTGTTTTTACATGCAATGTCATTGGTATTAGATGTCTTCACAGATTAATCACCTACATTGTTTCCTTTCCAAACTTGATAAAGCAGCAGGGACGGGCCAGGGGCGTCAATAATCCGACGGTCGGAGTCAGAATGCTGAGGCAGAGCATTTGCGTGCATTCTTTCGTGCTGCGTTCTGGCCATGTCGTTGTTTCTCATGGCCCCTCCCTCCCTACAATCCCTCCACCTCAATGCATCTGATTCTGACCCACCAGCCACCGTACGATCCGCCGCTCAAACAAGCACCCCAACCCTCAACGCCCCGGCTCGGAAAACACAATGCCCGTCGCATCCAACTAGAATCAAACACACCCAGATTAACAAAATAAAAAATGCTCAAAAAATTCCCGAACCGATATCCATTTTTCAGAAAAAATGAAACCTTTGACGTACCTTTTTGCCGGTTTGAATTTTTCTTTTCTGGGTTTTCGACGGGGAGGAGGAGAGAACCGAATCCGAAGCTCTGCCGCCCGAAAAGTGGGGAACGGCGAAGGGTTTGGGTTTAAAATTTCAACATTTTCAGGGGATTTTCTGTTCAATGCATTTGAAACGCCATGAAAGCGATCAGTTTGGCTAGAAATCGGAAAGTGGGTGTGGATCGGCGACGAGGCTCGAGTCGGAACCCGTTGCCTCCAAACCCAAAGAGTTGTATGAAGAGGTTGGGTAGTGATTACAAGTCCGTCCGAGAGGGAAAAGCTCTCTGCTCCCGTGGCGATTTCCCTCCCGACGTCTCCGTTCGCCGATTTTTCCGAATATTTTTTATTTTTGCCCTCTTTTTGTATATTGAATTTTGTTGTTGGTTTTTTTTTTTTGTTTTGTCGGGAAAAAAATATGCGCTTGGACAGAGGACAGGAGGATGACAGGTATGAGTGAGGTGAACGGATAGAAGGCAACGTGGTATTCGCCGGAGCTTTCTCGTACTGTGGGAAGTAGCTGTCTCTCTCTGCTCGTACGAGGAATGGAGCTTTGTTTTCCTGTTTGCCACGAGGCACCAACTATAACTGACATGAAATATCACATTTGATTTGTGTCCCCAAAAGTAAAAGGAAACGAGTCTTTCACTTTGGCCAGTGTTGGTACGCTTACGTCTACATTTCAACACAGTTTGAAGATTATGTTTGTAAAAATTTAGTTAAATTAGAAATTGTTATATTCATATGTATCAAATAAATGCATGATGAATCTTAATTTTTGTTGAAATTGTCAATTGTCCTCTACTTTCAGCTTCTTAAACAATGTTCATTTATTTTATTTTTTATAAGTATAATTTTTAAGTTAGTACGTACAAAATGAACAGATTTGATAACGGTAGTTGTTAAACGCTTGATGAACGCCCTTTTTAGTTGGGCCTTCGGCTCGGCTCCCCAAGCATTGTAATCTTGGACGCTCCCTTTCCCTTTAGTTTTGCTTTGTCTTTTGTCTTGAACTTTTTCTTTAATTATATGATTTGATCTCACGTATTAAAATAAGCATAAGATACGTTATAAAGCTGCCCAATGCATCGATTTTGAGCCTACAAATTTCAGCAGCAAGCCGGCAAATCACTTTCCTAAAGTTGTCAATGTTATTCTGGTTTTGGCAACCTTTTTCTTTTCATTATTTTTGGAGTTCGTTATATGTACGTGTCACTCAGTTATATATGTTTTATGGAAAATTTAACAGCTGTAAAGATTTATCAGTTTTTATATGCATTTTTTAGATTACTTAGTAGCATAGAGAAAAATTATATTTTTAAAACATGCTCCATTTTCTATTTGACAAAAAAAAATGGTTGGAAGGCATGAAGACTAACTCAATAATTTTTATTTCTTTATCAATTTGTTTATGTGTTTGTTGTGAAACTAAGAATTACAAAATAGAAATACCAATGAATACTTAGTTGCAGGTTTAGTGTCATTGTCAAATCAAAATTATTTCTTTCTATAAAGTTATTCAATCCAAATGGACCTTGAATTTATTGGTATGCATCTTCATGCATGTACGAGCACAGTCAAGATGAATTTGAGTATAAAATAGTAGCCTCTATTAATATACTGGAAGAGTGATGATTGATAAATTGATTTCGAACTTTGACCAGTAATCGGATAAGAGAGTATGTAGGGAGAGTTGAACCAAAAGTAAATTTGACCACTCATGTATTGTTTTAGAAGAGAGATTTTTATGTGTCAAAACACGAGTCGGTACATTATTTGTTATAATATAAGTGGAAAGAAAACTAGTGTATGAGTGGAGAAACATTTAAGGAGGAAATTTTCTTTCCACTATTTGCAATTACATGTTTTAGAAGAGAGATTTTTATGTGTCAAAACACGAGTCGGTACATTATTTGTTATAATATAAGTGGAAAGAAAACTAGTGTATGAGTGGAGAAACATTTAAGGAGGAAATTTTCTTTCCACTATTTGCAATTTTTTTTATAGGAAGCACTTATGCTTATAAGTGGTTTCACGAAAAATATTTTGAGATTTTTTATTTATTTATTACAAATGATATTATTAGTGCAAACTACACTAAGGGGGTTTAAAATTGAGATACAGTAAGTTGAAAAAAAAAGTCCTAATTACCAGACTAATCCATCACTTGTAAATATTTCTTAAAAATTACTTGAAAGTGTTTAAAACTGAATGTGTTTATCCATTACTTAGAAGAAGTTCAAACTTTTTTTGTTAAACGTAGCTCAAAAACATTTTTAGTTTTTACATGAACAATCTCGATGGACGTGAGTTGCGATGTACAGCTAAGATTAAAACGTTTTAAATGGTTACAATAATGCTTATATGTTTAACAAAATATATATTTCTTAGTGGGTATTATTAACTTGGTATATGATGTGATGTGAAAGGGCCAAAGGGGAATAACGAAAATGAAAGGGGAAGGAAGGGAAAGAGAGAGTCAAAAGCAATTCCATGACTGCGACTGATTTCCGATTTCCGATTTCCGACGTGTCCCAGAGAATCTAAAAGTCCTTGTCCTTTTGCTCAAACCAACGGAAACGTTTGTAATTTTCTTCCTTCCGACTTGTGGTATTTGTTGCATGAACAAACATTTATGTATCTGGCAAGTTGGAATTATTTCCGATTTCGAGATTAAGTTTCAAAATTTGAAAATTTTGAACTCGAATATTTTTTGAAAATTGGAATGTATTGGATTTTGATAATTCCGAATTTACAATTCAATTTTTTCAAAGTGTTCCAAACTTATTTCATCTTTATTTGAAATATTCTGAATTTTTTCAGTTATTACTCAAATTATGTATTTTGCAATTAACTTTTATATTTTATTGAGACCCCTATTTTATTTTCAGTTTGGGATACCATTTGTTTATTGTTTTTATATTAAACATATATTTATATATTAAAGTGTATAAGCACACTAATATATCAAATACTTAATTGAATTTAGAGGTAAGCCTATACCATAATATATAGAAAGAACAATAAAAAAATTCGACCACATTCAGAACGTATAAATTATATGAATTTTCAATTCATGTATTGAAATTTCTAAGATTACTCTGATTCTGAAAATTTCAAATTTGATAATTGTGATTTAATTTGATCCAATTCCAGAATTTTGAAACGAAAATTGGAAACATTATTTCTCATCTGATTTGTCTGAAAATCACTCCTATATTTATCACACTAATTAAATTTCAATAGATATTTCATATTTGAACGAGTATGATACACTTACCACATTTTCCATTTCACATTTGAACTATCTCTCTTAGAAGTAGGGCCCACCATCTCTATTAGAGAGGTTGTACAAATGTGATATAAAAAATATGGTAAAAATAACATTTCTGGAGGAAAAAAATCTTGGACTTGCACTACTCATGTGCCTAACTAATAATGTCATGTTGCAATATAAAACACACACTTGTTATCCATTCACATCATAACATGTAAATTCGTTATAACACCTTTACTACATAAATTCTAGTCTCGTACAATTATTATTCCCTCTCTTATCATGTTGTCACGACCAAAACCAAAAAAGAAAAGGGAACCAAGAATAAGTTGTTTACTTTATTTAGACCTAGTTGTATGCTTTTTTCAAAATAGAATCTAATTCGAAGCATTTGGCTTTGTATCGTACAATGAATAATCAGACTATGAAGTTTAGTAGAAGGCGGATGGCGGATGGTAACTGTGAAACATAATAATATGGCCACAGAAGATTTAACTGTTCAGGTTCTCAACCTTGCTCCAAGGGTGACTCTTGCAGATTTGAATACCTTCTTCTCTTACTGTGGAACTGTTCAACAAATCCAGCTCCTGAGGCAAACAACCTCCAAATTATTAACTGCTTGATCATTCTGTTCTTTTTTAACTTTTGTTGATTAATTTAATGTTAATTATTTCATAATTTGCAGGGATAAAGACCAATTACCGTATGCTTTAGTGACTTTTGTGCAGCCTTATGCTTTTCAAACTGCTCTTCTCCTTGATGTAAGCAGCCAAAAAAATCTGTTTATATTTAAATCTTAGTATTTTTAAGTGCTTTTTTTATTTTGTTTTAATCAATTTATTAGTGTGGCTGAAAGGAAGGGAGTGATCACTTTGCAGGATGCTACATTTGGAGGCCAACAAATTGGCATATTACCTGCATATGATATAAGAATTCCTATAGTTTCAGATGAAGACACAAAAGATGATCACACCCAGGTTAATGATAAAGTTGGTACTTTGATGTGCTTCTGTGGCTGTTTTGGTTAGATTTCTTAGGGATTCGAAATGACAGAATGAATAAGGAATGTTGCAGGTATTTGACGGCTACAAGGCTGTGCAATTGCATCAGCTATAATTTCATTTACATAGGAGTGTTTGAATAAGGAATGTTGCAGGTATTTGACGGCTACAAGGCTGTGCAATTGCATCAGCTATAATTTCATTTACATAGGAGTGTTTGTAGGGTTTTGGTACATTGTCAACTCACAAACATCTCTCCTAACTGTGCCAGAGGACAAGAATGTATTATGAATTTGACTACTATACTCTACATTTAATCCTAGCCCTTCATTGGGGGTTTTAAGTGATCTAATTTGGAGTGTGCACTTGGCACTCACTTACACACAAAAGCTTTAAAACAAAAACTAGCCTTTAACTCTAAAACCCTTTGTTTCTTCTTTCTTCTTCGACTCAGCAGCAAACTATCTGTTAGAGCTTCACCTTGCTGCCTTCAATCCTTGGTACTAGAAGCAATTTAGGTTCCAACACTCCCCTCTAAATTGGTTTTGGTTGTCACTTTGAGCAATCCCATCAAGTAATTGAATATATCCTTTGGAAGAGCTTTTGTGAAAATGTTTGCGATTTGTTCTTTTGTCTTGCAGTAGTGTAGCTTGATTATGTTCTCTTGCAATGCTTCTATGATGAAATGATATCTTCTCTTTATGTGCTTTGTTCTCTGATGAAAGACTGGGTTCTTAGTCATGGCGATTGCAAAGGTGTTGTCACATAGAAGTGGTGTGGCATTAACCTACAATTCACCAAAGTCCTTGAGTATGAATCTCAGCCCCAACCATGGACAGTGCAACACTTTGTTGTTTCATTGATACCCAAGAGAAAACCTCTAAACCAAAAGTGAATGCATAGCCTAATGTGCTTCTACAATCATCTTCACTGCCACCCAGTCACTGTCACATAACCCAATTAGGATAGCTGACTTCCCTTTTTCATACTTGATTCCATAGTCAAGTGTCCCTTGCACATATCTCAGTACTCTTTTAGCTGTCCCCATGTGTATCTTAGTAGGATTCTGAATAAACCTTGAAAGTAGGCTTGCTGAGAACATTAAATCAGGCCTTGTTGTAGTTAGGTACAATAGATTGCCAACAATGCTTTGTAGATACTTGAATCCACAGCTTCACTCCCATCACCCTTCAACTTCTCATTTGCAATTAAGGGTGTAGAGACTGATTTGCAGCCTTCTATACCAAATTTCACAAGCAATGTTTGTGCATACTTCTTCTTCTGAATGAAGATGCAGTTTGCTTCTTGAATTACCCCAATGCCAAGAAAATGATGTAAGAGGCATAGATTTGTCATCTCATACCTCTTCATCATTTCTTCCTTGAATTTTGCAATCATAGCTTCATCATCTCCAGTGTAGACAACATCATCCACATAGATTGATACAATGAGTGTCTTCTTGTGGTTTTCTGTTTTAGTGTATAGGGTAGCTTCACTATGACTCTTTTAAAATCTTTTCTCAATGAAATAAGAGTCAATCTCAATGTACCAAGCCCTTGGAGCTTGTTTTAGGCCATAGAGTGCCTTCATCAGCTTATACACCGTATCTGGAAATTCGTCACTTGTGAACCCTTGAGGTTGTTCCACAAACACCTTTTCCTCTAGCACTCCATTTAGGAATGCAGATTTCACATCTAGTTGATGTAGCTTCCAACCTCTTTTAACTGCCAGGGCAATTAAGGTCCTTATGGTATATAACCTTGCTACTAAAATAAAGGTTTCATTAAAATCTACACCTGGTTTCTGTGAGTAGCCTTTAGCTACTAATTTGACCTTGTTCTTTTGCACAGAGCTATCTAGATTTAGCTTGGTTTTATTTTATAAACCCATTTCACTCCAATCACAGGCTTGTCACTTGGTCTATTCACCAGTTCCCAAGTGTCATTATTCTCCATCATTGGCAACTCTTTTGCCATTGCTTTCTTCCAAGACTTATCATTCTTAGCTTCCTCATAGGTCTCTGGTTCAACTACACAAAAGTTGCAAGTGGCATATATATCTTCTAAGCTCATCAATCTCACTGGAGTTAAGCTTGGTGTTGTAATCTGTGAATGACTTGATTGTGGACTCATACTTGCTTATTGGGAAGTCCCATGTGTCTCATTATTCTCTATGACTTCTTCTTGAATTAAGGTCTCAATAGGCTGTCTAATTTCTCCCTTATTAAGACCAAGTTGTAGGGAGACACTGTCTTTCTCTTCTACACTTGTTTCCTAGTTCCATGTAGAGTTCTCATAAAAAATAACATCCCTAGATAGATTTATCTTCTAAGTTGACAGATTAAAGACCCTGTACCCTTTTTCACTAGTACCATAGCCCACAAAGACACATTTGTTGCTTGATTTCTCCAGTGTCTGCCTTAGTTGTTATGGTGTGTGAGCATAGCACACTAAGCCAAATACCCTTAGGTGCTACACATATGGTTTTCTTCCACTGAAAACTTCAAATGGTGTCTTCTTGTTTAATGCTTTGGTATAACACCTATTCAACAAGTACACTGCAGTATTCATTGTTTCACCCAAGTATAGGGCATATTCTTCTCATGCATCATTGACTTAGAAATTTCGACTATATTTCTATTCTTCCTTTCTGCAATGCCATTCTGTTGTGGTGAGTATGCCACAATAAGTTGTTTCTCCAATCCCACATCTTCACAGAATGCATTAAACTCCAGAGAGGTATACTCGTCTCCCCTATCACTTCCTAGCCTTTTTATCTGGTGTTCACTTTGTAATTCCACCATTGCTTTGAACTTCTTGAAAATTATGAACACTTTTGATTTAAACCTCATGAAATACACCCAACACATCCTTAAGTAGTCATTAATGAAGGTTAGAATGTACTTGTTTCCACTGATTGTTGCAGTTTGCATAGGGCCACACACATTAGTGTGAAACAATTCAAGTGGCATAATTGTTCTCCAAGCTTTGCCACCTTCAAATGGATCTCTGTGATGTTTTCCAAACACACACCCTTCACAGGTTTCACTGGAAAGATCCAACTATGGTATACCTTGCACCATTTCATACTTTTGCAAATTTTGAAGACTTGTCATGTTTAAGTGACCAAGTCTCTTGTGCCATATCTTCATTGAACCTGTCACATTTGCTTTCCTTGCCAATTCTTCAAAATATCTCTGAATGAATGAAACGTTTATGTTTTTCACCTCCACTTTGGTTACCAGGTTTGAGAGAGACTTGTCATCAAATATTTCAACCACAGTTCCTCCAAAAGAGTAGGAAATAGCCATGCTCCATCATTTGACCAACACTAAGTAGGTTCTCATCCAATCTAGGCACTAGCATAACTTCCCTTATGTGTCTTCTCCCCTTCTTGGTTTCAATAACTAGAGTTCCTTTCCCAGTAGTTTTAACAATGTTCCCATCTCCCATTTTTACTTTTCCTGTGAAACTAGTGTCAATGTCAATGAGTAGTGACTCATGTGCAGTCATATGGATGTTGCAACCACTATCAATGTCCTATATTTCATTGTTTTCTCAACTTTGGCACTGAATGCACATAACACATTTACTTATTCTTCCATTTGATTTGCACAGTTCACCTATTGCACATTTTTTTTATCTACAATCCTTTATTAGATGCCCAAACTTGTTGCATTTGTGGCATTTAGGCTTCCCCTTGAACCAACACTCCCCAAAATGGGATTTATCACAATGCTTACACAATTGTTTGATTTTTGGACCTTCACTAGTGCTGCTACTATAATTAGGTCTAGGGTTTTGATACCCTTTTCCTTCCCATCTTTTGAACTTGCCCTTCCAATATGGTTTATGTTTTCTTGCACTAGCTTGACTACTAGAACCAATATTGGGAGATTAAAAAACTCTCTCAGCGGCAGAGTCAGCATGCCTCTCAAGTTTTTGGTCAAAAACTCTGAAGGATGCCATCACATCTTGCACACTAAGAGTTTATGTGTCTTTGGTTTCTTCAACAACACTCACTATTGAATCATATGGTTTAGTTAAACTAATCAACAGCTTTTGGACAACTCTTTCATTTAGCAGTTCTTTACCATAGGTTTTCATTTTGTTCACAACATCAAATAGCCTAGAAAAGTAGTATTTTATCAGTTCATTTTCCTTCATTCTTGTATACTTAAAGTCTCTTCTAAGGGATTGAAGCTTTACTTTTCTTACTTTGGTGTCTCCTTTGTATTCTTGTTGTAAAGCCTCCCAAGCACCCTTTGCAGTTTCTTCATTTGCTATCCTTGGAAAGATGGTGTCTGAGACAGCTCCTTAAATGATTCTAAGAGTTCTAGCATCATCCATTCGATTCTGCTTTAACATTGTAATCTATTTCTCTGTGAGATCCTTCTCTAAAGCATCAACCTCCATCTCCGGTAGCTCATACCCATATTAGACTATATCCCATAGGTCATAATACTTGAAGATGATGGTCATCCTTATCCTCCAAAAATCATGGCTTTCCCTATCAAAGACATGAGCTTTTAGTTCACTGCTATTAGATCCTTTCATTTGCAGGCTTAAAGTTAGAATCTTAGGGTTGTAAACACTATCTGAGTGCTCCCAAAGATACTAAAATGCACAGAAAACACCCAAAAAATAGAAGTATCAGCAACCTGGCTCTTAGGCCATGTTGGAAGTTTGGATCGTTGGGCCCGCCACACTCTAACGACATCGATAATATCCCCAACTTTACCACCTGCCCAATCTGTCAGATATAGGGTTTTACCACAAAAGGCCTCGATATCAGAGCCCATGGTTCAGGCCCGTGCAAACTAACAAGCTTGTCATCACCAAGAAGGAAACAAGTCTAAACTCTTAACATAGAGACGACCGTTGAGTTCCATTGAAAACAAATGGGCCTAACGGGAGCTGACCTCTGAGTTTCAATTGTCGATGTGGATCTCCACGTGTGAACCACTAAATAGGGTTACACGTGAAGGGGAGTGTTAAAGTCCCACATCGGTGGTGGGAAGAAAACCAAAGGGGTTTAAATAGAATTACCCCACTCTAACTAATACCGATGCCTTTTGTGGTAAAACCCCACACCTGACAGATTGGGCAGGTGGTAATGTGAAATCTCATTCCTGGATTTCACTATTGAAAACTACGTATTTGTATTAACGAAATTTTATATTATTTTCAGGAATTTATATTAATTTAATTGAATTTTAATTTTAATTAAACTAATTACGAAGTTTGAATATTGGTCAGTAAGTAGTAAAAAAAAGAAATTGGGAACCTTACGGGGTCACGCTAAGTATATTTAGATAGAGCTTGATCCTACGAGTGCGTAGGCAAAA